ATGGTCAGTTCTACAGTCCCGGAGTGCTCAGCCCTGAGGCTAGATCTCTCATGTCTTCTCTGCTCTACCATGTGTGACTCCTTCATGAGGGCATCGTCAATCGCCGAGCCGACCTCAGACGGAACTGGTGCCGCGGCTGTCTAACACCAACCTCGTTGTGATACTATCCAGAGGGCTTCGAAGCTCTACTAATCGAAATCACTCTATAGACTGACCTTCTATCTCAACTGAGACGACCGAGAAGCTGGTCCAGCCCGTCCTCAACTTACACGAGCTCTCGAACCTTGTCGGCTCCACTTTTTTTGAACTTCTGCTGTCTCGGAATCCTCATCACTGTGTGATATCAACTTCATATAACTCTTACTGCGTGATGAGAGTACCCCTCTCCGTCTCGACCCTGGAATATATAAATGCCCGCACCACTGAGGAAATCATCATCACTACGCCGTCGACTCTCCTTCTCGTTCTTCGTGACTTTAAAGTAGCCACCATAACCCCACGCTGGAAACACTCTGATTATCGCGACAGGCGGCACTTCTCCCAAATTTTGCGCATCCCCTCGGCGTCCATCTCCATGTCGACCTCCTCTCTCCTCTTGCGTTCACTCAAAGACACAGTCTCTTCCCTCAGCACAGAAGCCTTGCCACGACCAACTACCCAGCTGATATGCTTCATTGAGTCCGCAAACCTGATGAAGCCATCCCTAACATGGTGTACGGCAGTCCGATCGTCGAACCTTGTGAGCTCGTCAGAGCCGACCTCCTCATCGCTCGGTCGGATAATCCTCATGTCGACACTGATGAACACCCGCGGAAGTTGCTCCTTGCCGAGGCCCTCAAGAATAAAAGGTCGACCATCACCCACTGTGGGGTTCGGCGGCCTCAAAACCATCGACTGAAATGACCCCTCGGGGTGATCCTCCTGAGCATACTTACCAAAGCCACAGTAGGAACCTCTTCTCTCTTCAATCGCTCCAATAGATCCTCCAGCCCCAGACCACACTCAGCTCTCATGGCCGT